CTGACTGAGGAACCAGAGTGAGTCCAGGTCCAGTTGAAGGACAGTTGATGAATGAATGCTGGGAGTTTTTGGTTTCTTTAAATGAGCGTGAAGAAGAAGCAGCTGATCCACCTGACCTTCAGTGACCTCTGACCTTTACTGACCTGTGTCCTGTTGCAGGTGTGTGTGTGCTGCTGCTGTCTGCACTGGCTGTTTCTGCAGGTGAGTTGATGAAGTGAAAACAATCAGAGACTCCAAAAGATCACAAATACATTTACTGTGTGTCTGTGCTCAGTCTCTCTGCAGGTCAGTCCAAACCTCCAGCAGATCTTCAAAAATTACGCTTCTTCTGTGTCTCTGAGTTGTGTTGATGATGAAGGAGAGACAGCTGATGGGTGGAAGGTGATGATAACAACAGATGACTACAGTTATGACTGTGCTGACAGTCTAAGCTTGCATGGATATGGTGTGGGATATTACTCTTTCTGTATTCTGGATTCATTCTTCTCCTCTGATCCTCTTTACTTCTGTGAAAACTCGTCTGGACAGCAGAGCGATGAAGTCTCCATCAGCATTTCAGGTACAGGAAGTGAGCTGTCTTTGTGCGACTCTGCTCTGCTGGTGGATCTTTGTCTCTGTATCACCCTTTTGTGTCTCTGTTGGTCAGATAGAAGTGTGATCCTGGAGATCCCTGCACTTCCTGTGAGGGCAGGAAGTAATGTCACGCTGCGCTGCAGAAACCACAGCGGTTCAAAGGTTGAAGCTTATTTCTTCATTAATGGGAGTCATGTTGGAGCTGAACACAAGTCAGAGCTCATCATCACTAATGTGCAGAAGTCTGATGAAGGCGTCTACTCGTGTTCTGTCGGTGTAGATAAAGAATCTCTTAAGAGCTTTCTGAGGGTCAGAGGTGAGGACACTGACATCACTTCCTGTTTAAAGACGTGACCTAACTAAACTGATCGCTGACAGACCCACCTTCATCATCTCTCCTGCAGAGCCTGCTGTCACCCCTTCTTCCTCCCCTCGTCCCCCTTTTCTTCCTCCCTTCCTCCTCCTCCTCACTTTTTGTCTGTACTGAGACTATCCTGCCATCTAGTGGTCTTTTGTCCATATTGCATCTCTGCTGGTGTGCTGCTGTCCATCTGATGCAGAAGGAAGACGGCAAAGAAATCAGCCATCTCCATGGAGATGACCCGGCACGATGGAGGATGTCAGGGTTTGGATGGAGACTATGAATGCATGTTTGCTGATATGCTTTATACAAGCCCAAGATGTCTTCATGGTGTGTTTATTATATGCTCCTGTACTGATGATGTTCAGCCTCCTCTGAGTATAAATAGCTTTTGGGGTTTTTTTTTGGAAATCAATCCTGTTTCTCCCTCCAAGTGAGAAAACACTTTATGTTTTATTACTGGCTATGGAAATCGTGTACATCATTGTTCTTTGTATGCTGCTGCTAAATGTCCATCTTTCATATTCGCAGACTTTCCCATTGGTTGATCTTTATCTATAATTTCTCCTTGGGCTGGTTCCATCTTATTTATGTGTTTATATGTGTAAAAAACACAACCAATACAGCCTTCGTTCTCACAATATCATACAATTGATTGTCCCAAAAATCAGACAGAACTGAAGGAAAGGCTTTTCAATACGCTGCCCCTGCTTCCTGGAATAATCTGCAGAAGGAACTGAAATGATCAGAATTTGTTACCTCGGGGGAGTTTAAGTTCAATTCAATTTATTTATACAGCACCAAATCACAACAACAGTCACCTCAAGGTGCTTTATATTGTACAGTAGATTGTACATTAATAGATACAGAGAAAAACCCAGCAATCATATGACCTTCCCACTGTCGCACTTTGGCGACAGTGGGAAGGAAAAACTCCCTTTTAACAGGAAGAAACCTCCACAGAACCAGGCTCAGGGAGGGGCGGGGCCATCTGCTGTGATTGGTTGGGGTGAGAGAAGGAAGACAGGATAAAGACATGCTGTGGAAGAGAGCCAGAGGTTAATAACAGATATGATTCAATGCAGAGAGGTCTGTTAACACATAGTGAGTGAGAAAGGTGACTGGAAAGGAAAAACTCAATGCATTAAAAAGCAAAACGGAGAGGGGGAATAAAAAACTCATTGCTGATTGGTTTTTTTTTTAAGTGTTGGCCCTTCTTTTAAATTTAAATTTCTCCTTTTTCCCCTTTTTTTTGGGGGGGGGGGTTGAATCCAGCCATGCATCCATCCATCCATCATTTCATCCATCCATCCACCCATCATTCATTGATCCATTGATCCATTCATCGATCATCCATCCATCCACCCATCCATCCACTCATCCACGCATCCATCGTGCATCATTCATCCACCCACCCATTGATCCATCCATCCATCACCCATCCATCTATCCATGCATCCATGCATCCATCCATCCATCCATGCCATTTTATCCAATTCAAGTTTACGTAAATCTGGATTCTACTTCAGCTGTCACGGAGTGAGAGGCAGGGTACACTCTCTGCTGGTCTTCAGTTGATTATATAGTAGAATAAAAAATGTTAGCACTTGTTGTGAAGTGTCACTTAGACCGCCTTCAGTAGCTGAGTTGTTATCAATTCAATATCTTTACATCACCCATTAGAATATACAGTGATGTGAAAATAGAGAACAGAGGAGAAAAGAACAACTATTGTGCCTTTAAATGAGAGCAAACACATCAGAGCCTCTCAGACTACACTAAATTGGGCCGACCTCCCTATGAGACAGTTGCAGAAGAAACACTGATGACAGCACCGTGTCAACAGGCAGGAGCGCTATCAACACTTCTACTTCCAGACAGACCAAAGAGTACAAATAGGGGTGATCGTGGCTCAAGAGTTGGCAGTTCATCTTGTAATCGGAAGGTTGCCGGTTCGAGCCCCGGCTCGGACAGTCTCGGTCGTTGTGTCCTTGGGCGAGACACTTCACCCGTTGCCTACTGGTGGTGGTCAGAGGGCCCGGTGGCGCCAGTGTCCGGCAGCCTTGCCTCTGTCAGTGCGCCCCAGGGCGGCTGTGGCTACAATGTAGCTGCCATCACCAGTGTGTGTGAATGGGTGGATGACTGAATGTGTAAAGCGCTATACTAATACAGGCCATTTACAAATAAGAAGGACCTGTTACATGTTGCACTCATTTTATGAATTTAAAGAACGTTCAAAAAAATGCACAAATACAATCTGTCAGTGCCTAAATGCTCACAGTTTGTATGTAGCACAGTACTATTTAAAACGAGCAACAGATTTTCTGCGGACACTGCTTGCTTTTCTCACATACATTTTCAGTCCGGTCCTTGTACCTGACCATTTTCAGAGGATTTGGTCTTTGTTTTGCCAAAAACTGGTGTATTAATGATTCAAGCATAGAAAAGACATTTAACTCCATGGTTGAACGGTGTTTCAACATATAAGAGAAAAGAGAGAGAAAAGAAAAGAACTACTTTTGGTAGCTGGACAAGTGGAGGACAAAAAATTCGGCAGACCTAACAAACGATCCGCAGCAAACTGACAATTATCTGAAAGTCATACCCTTAAAGAAACAGGAAAAATCCAGCAAAGACCTGACACAGGATCTGACAGATGCATCTGACCCTTCTGTTGATCCAGCCATTCTTTAGGAAGTGAAACAGGGAGAAAACACTGAGCTATACCAAATTCCACAAAAAGCAGAGTGAAAGATCAATAGTCCAATTTGAAAATTTTGGTACAAATTGTTGTGAATATGTGTGAAAAAGTCAAGTGAGCAGTACAACAGTGAGCTTATGCATCCATCTGCATAACACAGCGGAGCCTCCGTAACGAGGAGCCCAGATTTCAACATTCCCGAAGCAGTGTGAGAAAACAGAGACAGCCACAAAAGATCACTGAATGTCCTTCAAGAAACTTGAAGAACCAATTTTGAGACTATATGTAGAAATTGAAAGAAAACTATGAGAGTCCAGACTGTGTTGGTCATATCTAGGGCTACTAGTCGACTAGTCACCGATTATTTTTGCAATTAGTCGACCAATCAGATCATGCATCCATTGGACGTAAAATGTACAGCTTATTGCACCAGCAGCATCTGCTCTTATATAACTATCATTAGCTTACAGCTTGAAGTGTTTAAGGTCTGTGCTAACTAAAAATAAAGACAGGATGATAGTTTATTAAACTTTGAATGAAATTTGCAGATTGTTTAGGTGGAGTTTAATAAACTCAGCCGTCTGCTCCTTGCTATCTAAAATATAACAGGACACCGGAGTAAATTTACTCACGAACTAATAAAACACTGAAAAAAACCAAACAATAACATTTTTAAGTCATCTAAGTAACTTATATATCATGTTTAACCTGAGTAGTGAAAGACCGCCAGGAGTTGTGAACAATGTGGAACAATGTGCCAGGAGTTCGCTGTTCTCGCTGGTTCTAGTGAACCTTGACCTCCCGGCTAGCTATCGAGCTGGTGGGTAACAGACGTCTCCAAATACGTCGGAGCACTTTTGCAAATATGTGATGTCTTGATAAACCGAGCAGATATTTGAAGTTTACACAGCTACATTCTCCCCTGAAAAGATCTTAAAAGTTTATTTTGTGACCCAGAAAGAGTAATAAGTGTAATATTAACACTAAGTAGCTGCCGCCATTGTTGGAGTAGGAAAACTGGAATAAAACTGGAATTGGCTGGGCCACGCTATGAATTCTGGGATAGGTTGGGCCACGGAGGGTACACCCGACCCATCCTTCAAATCTTGGAGGAGTCTTCGAATTTGGACAGCCTTCGTCGCATCGCTGTGATGTAATCGGCCTTCAAATGCGGCCTTCGGGGTTTAACAGTAGCTGGTACATGTACATGCAGTGCTGCCATCTTCTGTTTCAGTCAGTTATTACACTCTTAAATCCTGCTACTTATTCCTGCGTCTTTCAGGATCTTACAAAGCTTCCAACGACGCGTCGACTATTAAATTAGTCATCGACTAATCATGGCAGCCCTACTCATATCAAATACTGACTTTTAATCTGATTTGAATTGTAAAGATCTGTTTTGTATGGAGCCCCGCAGGGGACATGGGAGAAAAAAAAATTAAGACGGACTTTTGCGAGATCTCGCAAAAGTTTTGCGAGATCTCGCAAAAGTTTTAGCCGCATTCTTCGGACGCCGGCTTGAAGCCACGATGTGCGTGGTGTTCCTCCCGGCTGTAGTAGGTCTCGACCTCCCGTTAGCTTCGTGCCAGAGGTGGGACCAAGTCATTGTTTTGCAAGTCTCAAGTAAGTCTCAAGTCTTTATCCTCAAGTC